AATTTTGGATACGTTGATAACGTGGTCCCGCCCACTTTCCAGGCAACCGAACATGCCAGTCAGCGGGCGTTGCCACCCATGGTAATTGGGAATCCCCTGAGAGTAATCCACCCAAATACTGTGTACTTGTAGAGGCCATGACCTCTGCATGTGTGCTACGATCACACATGTATCCTCGAGCTCGGAGTTCAGCGCAAACTGTTCGCATGTCTTCGATAACGAGTGCACGAGAGTGATACTGATGGGATGAGCGTTCATTTGCTGCGGTGGCCACACAGGAGGGCCCACCGCTGTCTCTGGCAGCATCGCAGCCGGGCTCGCCATTGTCCCTGGCGCGCACAGCCGGCGCCTGGGAAAAGTGTGCAAGTGCCCCCGCGCCTGACGACAGAACCTCAGTGTTCGGCCGGTCTGGGCAAGCGCGACTGGCCGTAGCACGCGCCTGCCCCCGTCACTCATTTTCCAACGATGGGGGCGCCCAAATGCCCGTGCCATGCGCCGCTGAAGCACTGCTCGAGGTGAAGATATCAAACTTCTCAGCAGCGTCATCTGCTCCTGAAGGTGCCCCTGCATTCACTCCAGCAGGTGCCCCTGCAGCGTAGTCGGGCGGCGCCCACTTGCTGCCCTCCTCGCACATGGCCTGATATCCCTTCGCCTGTAAATTGCGCAGGGCGAAATCCTGATCGGCCGGTGTAAGAACATCCCATAGGTTGTGTTCCTGCGATGCCAAGTCTTAAGGGCGTTGTTCACCGAAGACTGGATCGCGTAAGCAAATGCCTCCTCATCGATGACGAAGTGAATGCCCTTGGTGTCCTGAGACATCATGTACGCGTGCCCCCGCGCTGCTTGGCGCAGGTTGCCCTGCTGTTGGCTCTGCATCAGCTGCCTCCCGGACGAGTAAAGGTGTATTTTCGCAGTGAGGATTGGCTGCCATCGCGAATGCCATTGGGCCTGCATCCTCCGCTGCGGCGCCGTACTCGTCGACCTTGATCGCCAGGTGCCCTGAGGGCGTCTTCATCAGATCGAATACTCTGGCGCCTTTTCCAAGGAGGAGCTCATCCATCTCAGAGCCTGGAATGATCATCTTCTCGCGTCCCTGCCCCAGGATCACGACAGTCCCCACATGCAATACGATAGTCAGCATACCATCTACCATGGCCCCACTGTTCGCCGCCAGGGCCAGCTCGCGGCGTTCCCCAAATATCCCTGGTACGTCGGACAGCGTCGCGCTATGCATGCCTTTACGGCGTCTCTTGCCCAGCACCCACTCATTCCTTGTCAAGGACGTGAAGACGTTCACGTACACTCGCGCCTCTTCTTCTGTGATGGGCTGTTTCTCGAAGATCCAGGCCGACGGGTACTCGTCGTACATGCGGTGACGCTGTGACGAGAGCGGCACGTTCTCACAAGTGTCTTCGTCCGCACGCATAGCTATCTGCCCGTCTGCGTTAACCATCAGCACCGCGCGCGGCATGTCGCGCTCTGATATGGCGCTGGTGCCGCTGCGCGCGCTCACTGTGCTTTCAGATCCACGCTGGTTTCGCAGCGGGCGCCCATGGGGCATGCTGCCGCATGGTGCTTGGAGCCACTGCGAGCTCCTTTTTAGTAGCCCTTTCGATGCGCCTCAGCCACTTCTCATTGGCTGGTAACCCCGCTGGTGCTTCTGCAGCAGGTGCCCCTGCATTATTTGCTGATTCGGCTACCAGGGGCATAGGCGCATCTTGGCAGGCGCCGTGGCTGCTGTTGCCTGTACAACGTTTGATGATGACGCAGGTTGCCCCGCAGGTGTAGGCGCGGCAGCTGTATTGCTCGTCATCATCGCCGTGATGCGGCTGAGTTCTTCACGAAGATCTCTAAGCTCACTGGCCCCGCGGAGCATCTCTTCATGGCGATTTTCCGCATTCGGATCTCCAGCGAGGGCGCAATGAAACTTAGCTGCGACGAGGCCAACACCCCGGCAAATAGCACAGGGCGCCTCACTCGCGGCACCTTCCAGCGTGCCTGCCAGCTGTCGGCCCGCACGTGCGTGGGCAACTCGATCCCACCATTGCGCGTGGAATATGTGGCCACACTGAAGCCTCCGCACCTGGTCGCGGCGCGCGAAGCTATCCAGGCAAATGGCACACTTGTTGAAATCACCGTCACTGATGATTGGCGGTGTTGCCGACGGTCTGACGCGCGTCTGTCGCTCCAGCGTGGACTCACCAATCTCGCACTGGATCAGTGGGACCGTTGACTGCTGCACTGCAGGAAGTGATCCCGCGGCTGCAAGTGATGCCAGACTGACAGCAGGCATCCCCGCAGGCACAGGAGCAGCGGGTTGCCCCGCACGGCCCATCATACGGCGCGCCTGTCGCTCCTGATTGCGACGTTGGCGAGCCAATTGCATGGTGAAGTTGGCCTGCTGCGCCTCGTGGGTGGCCAGAATCTCGGGACGCAGATCTCCCATGGACGATGGTACTACTCACCCAGGGCCATGGCGCGTTACATCAGGGTCCATGGGGGCCGCCAAGTATCCGCCGTGAGGTACTTGGCCTTGCACCCCGGGTTCGTACCCGGCACCACGCGTCAGCTGGGACTGGTAAAAGTCGTCAGCTGCTGCCCGAACGCACGGGTTGTCCAGCCGAGAACCAACACGTGGAATGCCCGCCTCCCGAGCGTAATAGTCAGGGAACATCGGTGCATCCATCGGTGGTGCAGTCGGTCGTTCAGCAGCCGTTGGATCGTACGCCGGGTGGCTGAAGAATGCTGGAACGTACCCATATCGGTTGGGATGATCGGGCGATGGGTTCGGATCAGGAATGTCTTCCCATGGGGGTGCCCAGCCAGCGCTCGGGAGGCCAATGCCATCCCGACGCATGCTCTGCATGGCCTCGCGCATCTGCCTGTGCATCCAATGCTACTGACCTGTCATGCTCTCAGCCCTCTGGGCAGCTTCATGGTCAGAAACAGCAGGTTGCCCCGCAATTGGACGTGGCGATGCAAACGGCGATGTCGCTTGCAAGGCCTGATAGTGCTGAGGGTTCATTCTAATGCTCTGAAGCCTGGCCTGCAAACGACTGGTACTCCCAGCACTCTGTGGAGTTCCGAATGGGATCGTAGCCCTACTCATGGGTGCGAACGACGCAGGTTGCCCTGCAGGTACTGGCAGCGGCTGCGCCTGGGCGCGCCACGGGTCGTTTGCATACAACCTGTCGTTGGGCGTGATCCCGTTGAATGTCATATCAGACAAGTCCGCACTCTGGGCCTGTATCCATGATCCATCTGAACCCCCTGCAGGTGCCCCCACCTGGTATCCCTCTTGCATCATAAATATATCGGTGAATTCGACCCCTTGCATGGGTGTCGGCGCAGGGACCTTCAAATCATAGGGAGTCCGCGGTACCATCCAATTCCTTAGCGTCGATGCATCATATGGAATTTCGCAGTGCTGCTGTGGAAGAAAATTGCTTGCACGCAGGTTGCCCCGCTCGTTGTCCTCGATGTTTAGAGCATTAATCTACACCTGTCCAACTCGATCACGTCTACATTGAGTAGTGTTAGGCAGGACGTTAATGAGCTGAACAACTTGGCTTGGCGGGATCCTGCCGCCCCGGCCTAATTATTATTATGATTTGTATTATCAATAATTTTCTTATTCTTATTAATATTATTATTGTTATTGTTATTATTATTGTTATTATTCCTCTTCTTCCTCCTCCTCCTCCTCCAACTCCGCCTCCGCCTCCGCCTCCGCCTCCTCCTCCTCCTTCTCCTCCTCCTCCTCCTCCTCCTCCTCCTCCTCCTCCTCCTCCTCCTCCTCCTCCTCCTCCTCCTCCTTGTCCTCCGATCACCGAAAACATCACCATCGCCAGTGTACTTTCTATGTTCCCCGATTGCGCGCGACCCCCCTGCCCTACAACTGCCACCCCATCAGACCCTCACCCTCTGCATTGCATAGTCAACGGCAGGTTCGTGTCGTGCCGACTTCGGCGTTGGTTTCTGACGCTGCGGGGGTCGTTCAAGCTTGAACGATCGGCCCTTTCCGAAACGCCAGGTCGTTCAACATCGGCCGACTCTGGGTCAAAGGCGGCGCTCAGCTTTGAACGCCGGCGGCGGGGTCGCTGCTGGTCGACACGACGCGAACCTGCCGCACCGCGGCCCAAGCCAGGTCCCCACCCCGTGGCACCCCACGGGCCACCACAAAACTCTCAACTCCTGGCTGGCCCCTACCAGCTCTCTCGCCGACAGGGCTGGCCCCAGCAACCAAACAAGACAAATAACAAGTAACCGACTGTACCCCATACAAAGGGGAAAAAAAAAAGCCCAGAAGAAAAAACAGTCCCCAAACACCCCAAGGAAAGCCAAAGACCCCGAACGAAAATATGACACAACAGAAAAAGACCAAGAAAGAGGGGGGCCCCAGCGGTTCCGTCGACGTCCCCCGATGTTCCGTGCATCTGCGTCGACTATCTGAGGCGTGATGTGCACGACCTGGACGCGGCAGCCCCTCTGTTCAAGGACAGGGAGAACTTCGTTCCTCACGCAACCGCGCATATCGAAAATTCCTTTTGCACGGGCCTTCGCAGTTGTAGCTCTGTCAGTCGTGCGCCGTATATCAAACAGCCTGGCACGCAGCACACACACACACACACACACACACACACACACGCACACACACACACGTTACTCGAACACCCTTCTTCAAGTGAGTGTCGCGCTGGTCACGGATTACGTGATCCTGCCATGGGAAGCCTTCTTCGCAGGCTGCGCGCGTGAGTTCAAGCATCGACGCCTGGTTCCTCCGCTGCTTCAATCACCTGGAACTCCCGCTCGAGCGCGCACCCGGCGCATACTCCCCCCCACCCCCGACGGCTGCCAGGCCGAAGGCCTGCGAATCATGGGAAACCTAAAATCACGACGAAAAAAACATGTAGCTTGTGGTGACGATGGGTTCCCCATAATTTCGAACTATGGGAAACCCATCGCTGGCTGCCGCAATGTCTTCCCGAGCCTCCCGCGTCGTGCTCGCGCCTGCTGCGCCCGCTCCGCCCGCAGGCGCGACTCGAGGCTCGCCAGTTCCGCGCACGGGGCGGACCTCACAACACGAAGCGACGAATCAAGGGGTCGGCGTGTGTGGAGCTAGCCTGCAGAATCCTTGATGAGCCCCTTCACCTTCGAGAACGGGTCGGCCCCGCCGGAGCTCATCCGCACGGCCGTCGCCATCCGGGAGGCGAGCTGCGCAAGGGACCTGGAGTTCTGCTTGTGCGCCAGGTCCCTGATGAAGCGCACCGCCTCGAAGTGGGCCAGGTCGGTGCTGGTGCTGAGCCTCTGGAGCAGAGAGACCTGGCTGAGGCCGTACGAGAGAGAGGCGGCAGCTCCGGTGTTGTCGACCATGGCCTTCTTCGCCTCGGCCAGTGCCTTCAGCTCCTCGCCGCGGGACTTCACCTCCGCCTCAAACTCCTGCGCCTTCACCAGGCACTCACCCCGTCTGCCCGCCGTCTGCCCCCTCTCCCCTGCGCCTCCCCCCTCTCTCCCTTCGTTCCCCCCCGCCCCCGCTCCCACGAGCTGCGAGCATGTCCATACCCACGCCATCGCGGTCTGGCTTCTTTGGCGCGGCCCAGTGGACACGCGGTCGCATGGATACGTTCCGCGCGGAGCATCCGTACAAAAACGTATCCATGGAGTCGCGGCACAGGGGTCCCGCCCGCGAGGCCGTGGATATAGATTTCTCGACCACGACATTGCCTAGTCAGCGGGCCCCGAGAATATCCGCCACCGTGACTCTGGCACGAAGTGGAGTTCCCCAAGGCTCACAGCTGTGCTGCTTCTGCTGCAGGATTGTAGTTTCTGAAGGGCAGGACAGCCCATTTTCCAGAAGATTCCGGGCGCTCTCGGGCGCTCCCAGAGTGTTCCGCATGGGCCTCCAGGACGGTTGCAACGCCCCAAACGATCAACGATCCAGAGAACTTCGTGGAGCACCCCACCACCCAAGACGGTCAAGGAGCGCCTCTGGACGGCCCAAGAGGCCTCCAAGACGCTCCAAGAGGCCCCCAAGAGGGTCCCAAGATGCAAAAATCGCCCCGCTCCCCAAGGGGGAACCCGAACGGACATGTCGAGCCTTCGGCCCCAAGATGTTCCCAGCAGGCCCCAAGAAGGCCCCAAGAGGCCCCCAAGAGGCCCCAAGAGGGCCCCAAGAGGCTCCCAAGAGGCCCAATAGCTGCTTCCTAAATTGGCCCCGAGAGCGCTCCGACGCGACCCCAAGAAGCACCCCTGAGGACTCTAACAAACAAGCCAGGCACGGTGGCGGGATGGGCCGAAGGCCATTAGATCCGCCGCCCCATGTTGAATCATCACAGGGGTGCCTGGCGTGCCAAATCCTATCGTTTTTGGTTTTGGTTCTTTTCCAAAATAACTCCCCCTGGGGCTCCGGCGCGTCCCGCCGGCCACCCGCAAAAGACCTCAATCCGGAAAAAAATCCTCCAAGACAGCTCAAGATGGCCTCCAAGATGGCCACGTTCGCCCAAGACGACCTCCAAGATGGTCCAAGATGGCCTCCAAGTTCGCCCAAGATGGTCCAAGACGGCCTCCAAGACGGCCCAGGAGAGTCCAAGATGGCCCAAGACGGCCCAAGAGGCCCACCAGAGGCCTCCAAGACGGCCCAAGAGGCCTCCAAGACGTCCTCCAGGAGGGCCCGAAGAGGCCAAGATCATTGATTTGACTTAGGTCTTTAAAGGATTTTGGCATTCGCTTCTTCTCGGCATTCCGACGGCTCAACACGGCCCAAAAGGCCCCCAAGATCGCCCCAAGATCGCTCAAGAGGGCTCCAAGATGGCCCCATGACGGTCCAAGAGGCCCCCAAGACGGCCCCAAGAGGACCCCAAGACGGCCCAAGAGGCCTCCAAGACGCCCAAGATGGCCTCCAAAACGGCCCAGAAGCGCCCCAAGAGGACCCCAAGTCGGTTCAGAGAGGCCCCCAAGACGGCTCCCGACGGCGTCAGAAGTGCCAGGAACGCCATAAGACGGCCAAAGAGGCCCCTGAGAAGCCCCAAAAGGGCCCACAAGAGGCCCCAAGAGAACATGGCCTCCAAGACGATCCCAAGATGCCCCGAATCGAGCCCAAGAGTGCCTCAAGAGGCTCCGAAGAGACATCCTCCCCCTTCTCCTTTTTCCTCCTTCTCCTCCTCTTCCTCTCCCTCCCCCACGTGTTCCCCGAAGGCTTTCCAGATCGGCTCGGAGAACACATGGTCCGATAGCTTGGCCAAGCTCTAGCCCAGCTGTCGGACACATAGGCGCTTCCACAAAGGCAGGGGGCGGCGGTGATTCGCCGTAGGCGTCTTCGATCCGCCGCCCCCTGTTGATTCATCGCAGGGGCGCATGTCGTGCTGAATCCTTTCGGTTTTGGTTTTGGTTCTTTTTCCAAAAGAACTCCCCCCGGCCCGTACCGCCGGCCACCCGGACAGATTTCCCAGGACCTCAATTCCCCAATTTGTCGCTCAAGATGGCCCACGATGGCCTCCAAGATGCCTCCAGGACGGCCAAGATGGCCTCCAAGACGGCTACAATGGCCCCGAAATGCCTCCAAGACGGCCCAAGATACACTCAAGACAGCCTCAGATGGCATCAAGATGGCCCAAGACGGCCCCAGGGGCCTCCAAGAGGCCTCCAAGAGGCCACCAAGAGGTCCTCCACGAGGGCCCGAAAAGGCCAAAATCAGTGGTTTTCCTATGGTTTTTGAAGGATTTTGACATTTGCTCCTTTTCGGCTTTCCGACGACCCAAGACGGCCCAAGAGGCCCCCAAGATCGCCACCAGAGCGCCCAAAAGGCCTCCAAGATGGCCCCAGGACTGCCCAAGAGGCCCCCAAGACGGCCCCAAGAGGGCACCAAGACGACCCAAGAGGCCTCCAAGACGCCCAAGATGGCCTCCAAGACGGCCCTGGAGCATTCCAAGTGGAGCCCAAGTCGGCCAAGAGAGGCCCCCCAAACGGCTTCCGACGGCGTCAGACGGGCCAGAAGCCCACCAAGATGGCCGAAGATGGCTCGAAGCTGGCCCAAGACGGCCCAAGAGGCCTCCAAGAGGGCCTTCAGAAAGGCCAGAAGATGTCAAAATCATTGATTTACCACCGGTTTTTGAAGGATTTTGACATTTGCTTCTTTTCGGTCTTCCGACGGCCTGAGAGGGCCCAAGAGCCCCCAAAGATCGCCCCAAGATCGCCCAAGAGGCCTCCGAGGCCCCCAAGAAGCCCCCAAGACGGCCCAAGAGGCCTCCAAGACGCTAAAGATGGCCTCCAAGACGGCCCTGGAGCACCCCAAGAAATCCCCAAGTCGGTTCAGAGAGGCCCCCAAAACGGCTTCCGACGGCGCCAGACGGGCCAGGAGCCCACCAAGACGGCCAAAGAGGCCCCCGAGAAGCCCCCAGAAGTCCAAGAGGCTCCCAGGAACCTCCCAGGAGGCCCCAAGAGTGTCCCCAGAGGCTCCCAAGATGCCCCCTCCTCCTCCTCCTCCTTCCTCCTCCTCCTCCTCCTCCTCCTCCTCCCTCCTCACACTCCTCCTCCTCCTCCTCCTCCTCCTCCTCCTCCTCCTCCTCCTCCTCCTCCTCCTCCTCCTCCTCCTCCTCCTCCTCCTCCTCCTCATCTTGATATTCCCCGCCATCCTCCCCCAAGTGTTCCCCGAAGGGTTTCCACAACGGTTGGGGGAACACATGGCCCGATACCTTGGCAGAGCTTTTGCCACAACGCTCGGCCACATGGGCGATTCTAGAAGGCGGGGGGCGGCGGTGATTCGCCGTACGTAGGCGTCTTCGATACACCACCATCACCTCTCTTCGTCCTCCCTCGTCTGCCGCCCTCCTCCACTCTCCTCGGATAGGGGGGGCGGGTGGGGTATACGTTTTGGCCCCGCACCTTCACCCTAGATCTGGATCCCCAGCCCCCCGACGTCATGTTTTTCCATAACGTCGACCCCCAGAGGTCTCGACTCATTCCCCAGGACCGGTTTCTCATCCTAAATCGTTTGTTGACGGTCCCGATGCCAGGCCGGGGCTCCCAGAAGGCGAAAATTGCGAAAAAACTCCCGTCGTGATTTATTCATGACTCGAGGGGGTCTGGGTCTGGCCCTGTGGTCGGGCCTTCCAGGGAGCGGAAAGGTAGGCCTCGGACCCCTGGAGTCTGAACTCCCTGGCACTCCCCGACGCCACTCCCTGGCGACCCCGGGCTGCCGGGCTGGGACATGGGGGGAGCCCAGGTCCAGGTGTATACCTGGGGTAGAAGGCTGGAATCGGGAGCGGGAGAGGGGGGCGGGGTGGGGCGGGTGCAAGGATCCTCCTCCTCCTCCTCCTCCTCCTCCTCCTCCTCCTCCTTCTAATCGTCCTCGACCTCGTCTTCTCCTCCTCCTCCTCCTCCTCCTCTCCTCCTCCTCCTCCTCCTCCATCCTCCTCTTCCTCCTCCTCCTCCTCCTCCTCCTCCTCCCCTGCCCCTCCGTCCCTCCTCGTCCTCCTCCTCCTCCTCCTCCCCTCCTCCTCCTTCCCTCCTCATAGTCCTCTCGCCCCTCCTAGTCCTCCTCCTAGTCCCTCCACCTCCTCCTCCCCTTCCTCCTCCTCCTCCTCCTCCTCCTCCTTCCTCCTCCGCCTCCTCCTCCTCGTCCTCCTCCTCCTCCCTCCTCCTCTTCCTCTTCCTCCTCCTTCTCCTCCTAGTCCTCCTCATCCTCCTCCTAGTCCTCCTCGTCCTACTCCTAGTCCTCCTCGTCCTCCTCCTCCTCCTCCTCCTCGTCCTCCTCCTCATCCTCGTCCTCGTCCTTCTCCTCCTCCTCCTTCTCCTCCTCCTCCAGCTCTTCCTCCTCCTCCTCCTCCTCCTCCTCCTTCTGCTCCTCCTCCTGGTCCTCCTCCTGCTCCTCCTCCTCGTCCTCCTCCTCCATTCCTTCTCCTTTAAAATAACTTCTCCCTGTCGCACTCTGAAGCTCAAAATCTGGCAACAATCACACAGATGGAGGGCGGGTAGTTTTCGAAATGTGGTTATCGCCTTAGCGCCGCGCACATTCGTTTTCAACACCTGCAAAAAGTTCACGGATTGAGGGCCACCCGTCTTCAAAATGTGGCTCTCGCCTTAACGCCGCGCACGTTCGATTTAAGTTTACAGATTGAGGGCCACCCGTTTTCCAAATGTGGATCTCGCCTTAGCGCCGCGTACATTCGTTTGAAAAATGCAAGACTTTCACGAATTGAGGGCCACCCCTTTTCAAAATGTAGCTATCGCCTTAGCGACGCGCACCTTCGTTTTAAACATTGCAAGAGTTTCACGGATTGAGGGCGGCTCCTTTTCGAAAGGTGGTTCTCGCCGTAGCGCCGCGCACATTCGTTTAAACAATAGGAGAGTTTCACGGATTCCCCTGATCAACGTAACAGAATAACTGCTTTTGAAAGTTTCAGGATTATGAGGGTGCAACAGTTACGTTGATTCGCGGTGTTGAAGTCCCAGGAATGGCGTTGTGGGACGATTCAGGATCTTCAAGACGCAACAAAAAGGTTGATCCGTGGCGGTGGAATCCGGAGAACCATACTTTTGGCATGTTTCCGGGTCTTCAACGGTGGTCATCCAACGAGGCAGTTCCCCCAGTGGGAATGAACCCTGGTAGGGGCCTGTGAAAGAGGGAGCTTGGAGGGAGGGTTTACTCCCACATCGTTGATGACTCTTGGGTTTACAAGGTCCTCCTCCTCCTCGTCCTCGTCCTCGTCCTCGTCCTCGTCCTCCTCGTCCTCCTTCTCCTCCTCCTCCTCCTCGTCCTCCTCCTCCTCGTCCTTCTTCCGCCTCCTCCTCCCCCTCTTCCTCCTCCTCCTCCTCCTCCTCCTCCTCCTCCTCCTCCTCCTCCTCCTCCTCCTCCCTCCTTCCCCTCCTCCTCCTCCTCCTCCTCCTCCTCCTCCTCCTCCTTCTCGTCCTCCTCCTCCTCCTCTCCTCCTCCTCCTCCTCCTCTCCTCCTCCTCCTCCTCCTCGCTCCTCTTCCTTCCGTCTCCTCGTCCTCCTCGTCCTCCTCGTCCTCCTCGTTCTCCTCCTTCTCCTCCTCCTCCTCGTCCTCCTCGGTTATCCTCCTCCTCCTCCTCATCCTCCTCCTCCCCGTCCTCCTCGTCCTCCCTCGTCCTCCTCGTCCTCCTCGCCTCCTCCTCCTCGTCCTATTCCTCCTCCTCCTCCTCCTCCTCCTCCTCCTCCTCCTCCTCCTCCTCCTCCTCCTCCTCCTCCTCCTCCTCCTCCTCCTCCTCCTCCTCCCCCTCCTCTTCCGTAGCCATTTTGGCTCAAGATGTCTGCACTGAGGGGGCTCCGCGCCTCCGTGCCAGAAGGGATACCGCTAGTCCGCGGCAGTCTTCCATCTGCTTCTGGGGTCCCGCGGCCTCCGAGGGATCAGCAACCCCTGCTGGGGTCCTCGGTCGTCCGTGCGGCTTGGCGAGCCCCATCCTCTTCCTCGTCGCGCGGATGGGCAAAGATGGTGTACCTCAGAAGTGGCACTGTAAGACCTGCTTGCATCCCAAGTCGGGCAAGCCCTTCCTCAATTTTGCCGAGAATAAGAAGTGCTTCAACTGCGGCATCGCGAAGTCGGCCTGCTTCGGAGGCCACGTCGTCCCGGCGGTGCCCTCCAAGCGGGCTCCTTGGCTCAAGAAGGATGCCTGGGCCAAGGGACCGCCGGCCACAGACGGGGAGCTCGCCAAGTGCCAGGCCCAGATCAAGCGCCTGGAGGGCGAGCTCAAGAAGGCCAAGCAGCAGCAGAACTCGGCCAGTAAGGACGGCATGTGCTGGGACGTCGACAACGAGTGCGAGGCCGTCCCTGATAAGGATCGCCTGGCAGCCATTGACATCGAGCTCGGCACCATCTCGGCCTTGGAGGGCACGGTCTGGACCCAGATCATGGCTGACTTGCGCGCGGAGCGGCAGGCGATCGAGCAGCGCATGCTCGACTCCCAGCCGGTGGCCTCGAGGCTTCGCACGCTGCTGCGCAAAGTCGACGAGGCCGAGCGCCAGTTGGTCAAGTCCAAGAAGCAGCAGGAGGGATGCCGCAAGCGAATCGTGGAGGCCGAGCAGGCGCTCAGCGAGTCCGACTCCCGCGTCGCCGAGCAGGAGCAGCTCCTTGCGAAGCTCAAGGCTCAGCAGGCGGCGTTGGCTGCCCAGGGCGTGGTGCTTGCGGCGCCTCAGGGCGCTTCGGCGGCGCCGCCCATTTTGCAGCTCGATTCGGAGAAGGTTCGGCAATTCTTGGCGCAGGGCCTCGACGAGCTCGGCGTCCAGGTGCCCGACCTCTCGGGCTTCGCGGTCAAGCTTTGCGAGCGCGTCCCGCAGTGCTCGCAGCAGACCCTCGTTCGTATCGAGGCGCCCGTGGGGCAGGCGCTGGCTGGCATTGCAGGCGCGCCTGGCGACGAGCGGGCGCTTGGGGCACGTCCTGTCGGCACGTCGGAGGAGGCCATCGCTGCTGCGTCGCCGCCTGTCTCGGTGCCAGTGGGCCCTTCCTTGGAGCAGATGCGCTCCGAGATTGCCGCTGGAGGAGTCCAAGTGCCCGAAGGGGAAGAGGAAGTTCGTGCCCTTCATGGTAAGCTGCGGCACGCCTTTGGAAGGCGACAGGGTGGTCAAGCCTCTCCGGCTTTCTCGCCTATGTAAGCCCTTTGTGATGCTGCTGCTGGCCATGGTGTCCTTCTACTTCATCATTCTGAGCGAGTGGCAGCGCCTGGATCTGCCAGTCCATGTTCCTGATGGTGCTGCGCCCGGTGCCATGGGCCTTCCTCCTCCTGGGGGTGCTCTTCCTCCTCGCCGTGATGGCGACCTAAACGGTCGCCACCATCGTCCGCCTGTCGCTGGGGAGCCTCAGCCGGCTGTGGCAGCAGCAGTGGCAGTAAGTACTTTTCCCTTGAGCCAATATACGTTTGTCACGAGTATGGCTGTCACGGAATCTGCGCTGATATGGCCTCCCGCAGCAGCGCCTGGTCTTGACGCTGGGACCGCTGGTGCGCTGCCGGGCGCGGCGGCGCACGGTCCCCCCGCGGCGCCTCGTGCCCAACCGGCTGAGGCCCCTGAAGCGGCGATGGTCGAACCAGCACGTCTCTTCCAGGAGGAGGTCGTCGAGGCGCCCGTGGAGCTCAAGTTGGATCTGCTTCTACCGGTGCCGCTGCGCCGTGGCACGGCCCCCCTCCACATCGCCACCATCAACGGGGACACGTGGCAAGGGGCTCGCACGGTGCTGGAGTGGAACGCTGCAGCCGGCAGGCGCTTTGACGTGGCCTTCGTTCAGGAGACGAGGTTCCCCGACTCCGAGGCGGCTGGGGGCGCTCGCCAGTGGTGCTTGGGCCAGGGCTGTCATCTTGCCCTGGGCCCTCCTCGTCGGACTGGCGCTGAGCGTCTGGCTGTCAGTGGCGGCGTGGGCCTCTGCATCGGCACGCACATTGGGGTTTTCAGTGGCATTGCTGTCCCTGATGAGTGGAGCCATCGCATTGTGGCCAGGAAGATCCACCTCGGCGAGGGCTCGGTCCTCTTGGTGATCTCTCTCTACATGATCACCTCCATCGGCCTCACTGGTGATAACCTGGCGCTCCTTGCGGAGGTGGCGTCTATTGTTGGGCAGTTCCCTGTGCCCTTCATCATCGGCGCCGACTGGAACGTTGACGCCCACGACCTTGTGGCCAGCGACTGGTGCCAGGAGGTGGACGGGATCATCGTCAACCCTGGTGTCCCGACATGCGGGGACAACGAGTACGACTACTTCGTCATGTCCCGCTCGCTGGCCCACCACACCTCCCACCCTCAGGCGTTTGCTGGCACACCTGCCGGCGCTCATGTTCAGGTGTGTTGCACCCTGGGGGATATTTGGGAGCATCCGACGGCTTGGCTGGAGGATCCTCGGCGGCCCTTCTCAGTAGCCAGGAAGGCTGTCGGATCTGAGGAGTCGGTCAAGCCTAGGGAGCAGCCCACCTCCGAGTCGCAGCGGGAGGCTGCGGAGTTGCTCGAGCCCTTGGAGTGTTTGCAGACAGCCAGTGCGAGGTGGTTCGACCTAGCCGAGGTATCTCTCATCCGCTCCCAGCAGATTGACTTATCGGTTGCTCATCACCACCGTGGGCGAGGTCGAGGCATTCGTCTGGTGGAGCGGCCTTTGCTTGAAGTCCATGAGCGGCGGCAGCGCCGTCACGACTCGTCCGACACCGAGGCTTGGTGGAGCTTTCTTCGCATTTGGAGAGCAATGCTTCGGTGGGGGCAGGCCAGCCGTGGTTCTCGCGGCAAGCGACAGGTGGTGCGTGCCCGCCTTCATCTTCAGGCTCAGGCCCTAACATTACCTCCAGCTGTGGCTGGTGCCGAGGCCCTTCGTACGGTGGCCGTCGACAAGTGGCTTGGGCTTGCTGAGCGGGACAGCCCTCTTTCTGCTTGGTTTGAGGATCTTCTCGAGGAGGAGGTGGCCGTGCGCAGGCGAGCTGACGCGGCTGCCAAGGCCAAGCTATGGCGAGATTTTTGCAAGTCGGCCCTCGACGGCCCCGGGAGGATTGCGCACAAGCTTATTAAGCCAAAGATTGTCGAGCCTCTCCCTGTATCCCTGCCTGGCGACGTTGATTCCCTGCCGCAGGTGGGCTCGCTGGCGGTTGAGGGTGTTTTGCAGGAGTGGCTCCCGCTTTGGATCAAGGACTCGAGGAATGATGAGCAGCACGCCTCCGAGTGGAATGTGGCGACAACCCTTGAGCCCATCAGTGTCTCGCAGGTGCGCTCGGCCATCCTCTTCTTCGGCAGGAGGAAAGGCCTGGGCTGGGACTCCTTTCATCCGCGGCTGCTTGGGGAGCTCTCGGACGCCTTAGTTGCTCGATTTGCGGCCATCTTAAACCGGTTTGAGCTCACTGCCGAAGTCCCCGAGCTTTGGACGACGATGTTCGTTTTCATTCCCAAGCCTCCTCCTGACGTCGGCCGTCGGCCGATAGGGCTCCTGGGCCTATGGCCCCGCGTATGGTCCAGGGTACGACAGCAACGAGTTCGCGCTTGGGAACACAGTGTGGATGCCAGCTTCTTTTGGGGCAAGTCCGGCGATACGGCGGCCGACAGAGCTGCTTACATCCACAACCTGCTGGTGGTGCATGCTAAGCGCCACGGCTTCGTCAGCGGCACTCTGTACTACGACGTGCGGAAGTTTTACGAGAACATCTCCCACGGCGCCATGCGCGAGGCTGGCAGGCACTACGGCTTTGACGAGCAGCTGCTGCGATGCCTGTGCGCGGTCTACCGTGGACCCAGGCGGGCCCGCTGGCTTGGCGCGACCTCGCGCCTGGTTGTCCCCAACGGCACGGTGATCGCGGGTTGCAGCTGCGCGACTGGCACCGTGAAGCTCATGACCCTGTGCGTTTTACGGACTATTGCCATTGAGACGCCTGTTTGCCGGCCGCTGAACTTGGTGGACGACTTGAAGGTGCATGCTGTGGGTTCTCTCCGCATTGTGGCTCGGCAATTGGTCAAAGCAGCCACGATTGTAGCCACTCAGATGAATGAGCTCGACCTTCCGCTCAACTTGGACAAGACCTGCTTCCTGTGTTCGAGCCCTGAGTTGCTCGAGGCTCTGCTGGACGACCCCGACTGGCCGTTCGACGAGTCCTTCCTGGCCACCACCCACCGTGACCTGGGTGGCGACGCTTCTGACGGCAAGGCTCGCCGCGTGCCTGTGCAAAACAAGCGCCTCCTCGAATCGTCGGCCGCTGCGACTCGGCTCTCGAAGATTGGGCGGGGGAGGGAGGCTTCTCGGGTGCACAGAGCGGGCCCAGTCGCTAAGGCCACGTGGGGGGCGCACATTAATGGTCTTGGGAATTCGGCTTTGAGGACTCTGAGGGTGGCCTCTGCCAGATCTTTTGGCCCCCTCCAGCCTGGATCCTCCCTCGGCCTCACCTTCCTTCTTTGCGGGGCCCCCCAGCGGGATCCTTTTGTTTCGACGACGGTGGACGCCGTCAAGTCATTTGTTTCTGTCTGGTGGCACCGCAGTGTCACGAAGCAGGTCCTCCTCTCTGCGTTTGACGATGCACTCGTGTCTGCGAGGAAACCTAAACCCTGGGGCTCCGCCAAGCAACCTCTTGCCGCTCTTGTGTTAACGCTTGCTCGGATTGGTTGGAGGTTGGATGTCCCAAACGAGGTCTTGATTGACCAGGCGGGTCGCTCCTGGAGTTTGTCTGTGTTTTCCCCGGCCTTCTTCGCCCTTCGCGTGCGCGAGGCGTGTGAGGAAGCGATTGTAATGGAAGAGCAGGCTAAGCAGAGTGATTTTGGAGCCGAATGGCGCGGCCCCATCTGTCTCAAGCCGGCTCTGGATCTGATCTCGAAGCAAGGCTCAGCTTGGTCTGATCATTGTCGTCACTGCTTGCGCAGCCTTGTTACCAACAGGTATTGGTGCCAGCAGCGGTTTCATGACGCCTGTCAGGACATACCCCCTGCCTGCCTGGCCTGCCAGGCCCCATCAGGTACCATGTTTCATCGTCGATTTGATTGCCCCGCCCACGATGCGTGGCGACGGGATGTTTTGAGCCCCGACCTGCGCCGGGCAGCGGGTAGAGTGCGCCTTCTTTCGTCTAGGGCCCAGGAGTTGTTCGCCAGGTGTGTGCTCCCAGACCCCACTTGCTGGTTCTCGCGCCCCTCCGAACCCCCTGAGGCCACGGTCTATAGGCACAATTGGCCTGCCGACGGGCTGGTGCTCGGGGAAGGGGCCCATGTGTTCTTGGACGGCTCGTGTTTCGAGCCTGCCCTCCCTAGGATTCGATCGGCGGGATGGGCGGTGATCGTTACGGACGGGTGGGGGAAAGTTGCTCGTGCGATTTGGGGGCGCGTGCCCGTGTGTGAAGCTCCAGCCCAGGTCGCCCGTGACGGTGAGGACTATGCAGTGGTCTCTCTCGTTCGCCATGCTACTGTGTTCCCTGGGGCCAACTTGTATGGGGACTGTGCCGGAACTCTCGGGTATGTTTCGGACCCCGCGGGAGCTGTTTGTCCCGATAATGTTCGGGCGCATATGTGGCAGCATGTGTTTGATAAGCTCGACGGAGTGCGGTGGCGTAAAGTTCCTGCCCATTGCACCCTTCGTGATGTCGAGAACGGTAAGCTCAGCCGTCTCGAGTATCTCGGCAATAGGGCTGCCGATGAATATGCCAAGCGAGGCGCCTCATTGGGTCGAATCTCTGCCGCTGATCGTGCCGTCGTCGATGGTTGCTTTGAGTTGTCCCGGCTGTTGTGCAAGTTCTCAGCTGAGCAAGAAGCTCGGATCGGGGACAGTGGGCAGTTCGACCATGTCGGCATCGATTGGCTGAGGCACATCACCCTTGAGGTCCCTCCTCTCCCTGATGATCCTCCTCCTCCTTCCGAGCCTTCTCCTCCTGGCCGTTTTGATTGTGGCTCCGTACGGCGGCCTCCTATTGGGAGTGGCGGGACGGGTCGGGAGTCGGGAGGGGTGGGCGACGACGGTGAGGAGGGCAGGGCCGAGTGGCCCGACCTCCATGTCTGGCCGGCCCGCGCCCACGACATCATAGAGTGTGGGGTCACTGACCCCGCTGGGGCGGCCGCTGGCTCCCTGGCCTTCTGCACCCGTTGCGGTTCAGTCTGCACCGTCGGAGGGCACGGTGGCAAGACTGCTCTCGCGTCGGATTGTCTGGGCCATCGTTCCCAGGGTCGTGAGAGGCAGTTGGCTTGGATTTTGCAGGGCCGCCATCCTTCGAAGAAAGATTTTCGGGTCTCGCGAGCGACCGTGTTATCGGACCCAGCTCGAGACTACCTCGCCGCCAAGATGGGTCTGGACGACCTCCCGTTGCTCGCGCCACCTCGGTCCAGAGGCTCTCTGGCTTCTTCGTCGGGCGGGATTGGGTGGGTTTGGGCTGGGACTGGGGTCGACCTTCAGCGAGGCCTTTCACTTTACGGGTTCAGCTCTCGGGAAGAGGCTGAATCGCTCGGCGCTCGAGCGCAAGAGCGCCGACGGCAGGTTGTGCCGCCCGAGGAGGACTTGGACCCTCCCTAACTCGTTTGGTGTTTGTTTGATGCATGTTTAATGTGGTGGCACCTTTCTAGCCGTTGCCGAGCTCCTCCCCCTCCTCTTCTCCTCCCCCTCCTCCCCCTCCTTGTCCTCCTCCTCCTCTTCCTCCTCCTCCTCCTCCTCCTCCTCCTCCTCCTCCCTCCTCCTCCTCCCTCCTCCTCCTCCTCCTCCTCCTCCTCCGCATCCTCCTCCTCTGCCTCGCCCTCCTCCTCCTCCTCCTTCTCCGCCGCCTCCTCCTCCTCGCCCTCCTCCCTCCTCCTCCTCCTCCTCCTCCTCCTCCTCCTCCTCCTCCTCCTCCTCCTCCTCCTCCTCCTCCCTCCTCCTCCTCCTCTCATCATCATCATCATCATCATCATCACATCATCATCATCATCATCATCATCATCATCATCATCATCAATCATCATCATCATCATCATCATCATCATCATCACCCCTCCTCAGCAGCCTCCTCCTCCTCCTCCTCCTCCTCCGCCTCCTCCTCCCTCCTCCTCCTCCTCCTCCTCCTCCTCCTCCTCCTCCTCCTCCTCCTCCTCCTCCTCCTCCTCCTCCTCCTCCTCCTCCCTCCTCCTCCTCCCCTCTCCTCCTCCTCCTCCTCCTCCTCCTCCTCCTCCTCCTCCTCCTCCTCCTCCTCCTCCTCCTCCTCCTCCTCCTCCTCCGCCTCCTCCGCCTCCTCCTCCTCCTCCGCCTCCCTCCTCCTCCTCCTCCTCCTCCTCCTCTTCCACCTCCTCCTCCTCCTCCTCCTCCTCCTCCTCCTCCTCCTCCTCCTCCTCATCATCATCATCATCCTCCTCCTCCCCCCCCCGGTCCCCGGCCCCGGCCCCTCCCAGGTTCCCCGGCTACCCAGGTCCAGGTCTTGGTGTAGACCTGGGCCCCCGCCCTGGCTCCCAGGCAAAGCCCAAGCCTAGGTCCACATTTAAGTCGGGCATGTCCCTCTACAGGAGGGAAATTCAAGAATGGTAGAAAAATAGCCTGGTGACGATTTGTCGTGTTCTGTTTGGTTATGGTTGACAATGTTTGACTATGTTATAGCTGTCTTCCGAAACCCATTCCGCCTGTATGAGGACATGCCCGACCTGAGTCTACATGAAAATCGAGTCTTTGGGCGGGTTTTAAGCTATCCCTATCCTTAGAGATCCGATGTCTTGATGGCTTCCTTTCGGGGTCTCCAAGTCCCTGGGCGCTCTTTGTATCCTGAACCGCTTGTTGACGGTACTGGGGCCTAGCGAGGTATTCCGGAGACCAAACATTATGGAACACCTTCTGCCGATATTTCGCTTCACGACGCGAGGTTCCCAGACACCCTCAGCCATGACTTTTTCAATCCGCGGCCCCAGAGCTCCCGACCCCTTCCTCAGGAGCAGTTTTGCACCCCAGATCCTCTGTTGGTGGCCCCGGAGACCGAAATCGAGGAAGAATGTCGGGGACCTCAGACCTCCGACATCCTGGGTTTTCCCCCATCGCCCTCCCTTCCTAGCCTTAGGTCGGGCATGTCCTCCTACAGGCGGATTTTGGAAGAATTACCGTGGCGACGTACCCAACCCCTGCGCGGTGCATGGCAAGAGTAGCTTGGGCGATTTGATGAGGGGGCGACGACGTGACATGGACGCATATACCTCTGCGAGCGGCATTCGGGAGGTTCGCAGGTCCCCGATCAAAGGAAAAAGCGTGGTAGAAATGATTAACTACGTGAACCCCTGAGTCAGTAAGGCAAGGTCCAAACGGAGAGGGCGGGCAACGGGCTTGAAACGTCGGCGGGGCAGCAACGACATGGCATGGCTCCCTCGAACCAAAATTCCCACGCGACGACGCATTTTCTGCACACCAGGACCCGCAGGCACCAGACACACCAGGCACATCAGGGATACGCCGGACCCAACAGCAGCCCTCGACAGCGTCGCAGAGCGCAGCCCCCGCCCCCCAGGGACGGCGAGGTCCCGCTCAGGTCTGCGAGGTGCCTCATTCCGCTGGACCCACCAATGGCCCTCGAAAATGGCGACAGTGTCGCAGAGCGCAGCCCCCCAGGGACGGCGAGGTCCCGCTCAGGTCTGCGCGGTGCCTCACTCCGCGGGACCCACCAGCAGCCCTCGAAGATGGCGACAATGTCGCAGAGCGCAGCCCACCAGGGACGGCGAGGTCCCGCTCAGGTCTGCGCGGTGCCTCACTCCGCTGGAACCACCAACAGCCCTCGAAAGTGGCGACAGTGTCACAAAGCGCAGCCCTCCAGGGACGGCGAGGTCCCGTTCAGGTCTGTGCGGTGCCTCACTCCGCTGGACCCACCAGCAGCCCTCGAAAGTGGCGACAGTGTCGCAGATCGCAGCCCCCCAGGGACGGCGAAGTCCCACTCAAGTCTGCGCGGTGCCTCACTCAGCAGGACCCACCAGCAGCCCTCGAAAATGGCGACAGTATCGCAGATTGAAGCCCCCCAGGGACGGCGAGGTCCTGCTCAGGTCTGCGCGGTGCCTCACTCCGCTGGACCCACCAGCAGCCCTCGAAAGTGGCGACATCGTCACAAAGCGCAGCCCTCCAAGGACGGCGAGGTCCCGCTCAGGTCTGCGCGGTGCCTCACTCCGCTGGACTCACCAGCAGCCCTCGAACGTGGCGACAGTGTCGCAGAGCGCAGCCCCCCAGGGACGGCGGGGTCCCGCTCAGGTCTGTGCAGTGCCTCACTCCGCTTGACCCCCCAGCAGCCCTCGAACGTGGCGACAGTTTCACAAGATGCACACACAAGTGGTACCGCAGGCAAGCTGCACACACAAGAGGTAGACACAAGGCAAGAGGAGACAAGAGGGAGGCGGGAGGAAGGACGCAACCGCAGCGCTTCCTTCAAAACGAATACCCAACCAAGAAGGGTTGGAAATAAAAGATAGTCCAAAAATATCAACCATGGCCAAAAGAGCACGACAGATCGTCACCGTACTATCTTATTCCTACTCTGGAATATCCCTCCTGTAGAGGGACATGGTCGGCTCAGCCCTGGCCTCCTGCTCTGAGCTGGGGTCGCCCGGCCCCCCCGCGCCTTGGTCATGCACTCCTGGTGCAGGTCACCCCTTGTCTTCGCGTCCGCGCCGAGCGCCGCGGACGTGCTCGAGAGGTCTCCCTCCGCCGTGGCCTTCCTCTCGCCGCTCGACGCAATCCCCGCCTCGGCAGGTACGGGCTGCATCGAATCGCGTCCTTCTCCTCCTCCTCCTCCTCCTCCTCCTCCTCCTCCTCCTCCTCCTCCTCCTGCTCCTCCTGCTCCTCCTCCTCCTCCTCCTCCTCCTCCTCCTCCTCCTCCTCCTCCTCCTCCTCCTCCTCCTCCTCCTCCTCCTCCTCCTCCTGCATCGATCGGACCGGAGACGGACCGAATCGCCACCGCATCGCCCAGAATCGAACCGAAGTCGGATCGCCGCGCCACGAGGCGGCTGGCCGCGGCTGGTGCCGGTGAACCGAATCGAGCGGAGTTGGATGGGAATCGCGGCCCCCGCCCACGCATCGAATCGGCTCGCAGGCGTCCCTGCCTTGGCCTCCGCCAGCTCCTTCTCGCCGTACGCGATCTCGTCCTCGATCGACTGCTTGAGCTGCTGGAATGCGTGCAAGTTTGCCGTCTCGGCACTGCTGGCGCCCTGGAGCTGCCCCTGCGCCTTGAAGGGATAAAGATAGGGGAGGACGGCTCAGGGGGGGAGAAACATTGAGCTGGAATCGGCGATACATCTCCAATGGATCTGCGATAGGCCCCAGGTAGCGAATCCGAACGTTCCTGGGCCGGGTGGGCTAGCAGGCCCCTATCGGCGATCACAGTGGGCGATGGGGGGCCGACGCATCCCCCCCATGAGCCTACTGCCCCCTCACGCTGCCCCTGAGCGCCTTCTCGAGCAGGTCCGTCAGGGTCGCGACGATGTTAGCGGAGTGCCCCTCGTACACGGCGGCGGAGGGCGCGCCCATGTTGTCCCCGCCGTCCTCCGAGCCCTGCTGCACGAAGGAGTTCAGCCTCAGGAAGAAGAGCTGCACAGGCGTAGAACGTCGGAGGTCCGCGCAGTTTTCTTGGCTCGGCGCTGGGACCCCCTAGCGGCGCCTCCGGCGCCGCCCCTGGCAGGAACGGGCTTCCAACGCCGATCCAGAAAACCCGCGCGGACCACCGAAAGTCTGTGCTTATGCAGTTTGTTCTTCCTCGAAGCCTCTCGGCGTCGGCGGAGCTGAACATGGAGGCCTTGACCATCACGGCGAGGGCGTCGGCCACAGTGCCAGCCGACTTGAGCTGCAGCATCGATGCGCCGTGCTTCTCAAGGAGGCCGATGGCCCGTTCGAGCGTGTCAATGATCTCCGACAGCTCCGTTTTCTCCGACAAGAACTCCGAGGACTCCCTCTCGCGGATGAATGTGCTCGCCTTCAGATCGGCCTGGTCGGTGGCGATGTCGGACGCTAGCTTCTCGGCCTTGGTCGTCAGCGACGCGATCAGGGCCGCCTCCTCCGAGATGGTGGCCTTGAGCTGCGTAGACTCCGACTCGGCCGTCTTTATGTCGAAGGAGAGATGCTTGCTGCGCTCTTCGCAC